TGGTGCCATTGGAGAGCAGTAATGGTACCGATTGTTGCCATGAATAGTCTTTTCTCCCTTTATAGACTCTCAATTACGCGCGGGAGTGAGGAAAATTATTGCGATCTGCGGCGAATGGTTTCGTTGATTGAATGACACGTGGAGAATTCACAAAGTATTTGATAGTAACGATTGGAACAAAATTGCCCAGCATCTGTTATTTTCATCGAGTGAATTATGAATATCGTCTGCGCGAAATTCAGTGCCCCATTCAGTCCCTTTTTTCTACTGTGATGAGGACTTCCACTCTAATGGATGTGATTTTTGTTTTGACTGGCACGCTATTGTTTATTATGATGCGACGCATCTCCATTAAGGACAATCGGGCGAGCTGGGAGGGTTGGAAAAAAGCAGCCATTTTTTACGTATTCTTTAAATGGTGGAAAAGGCGTGTGCAAAGTTTCAGACTGCTGGGGAGCATGGTTAATTTATTATGAATTTTTGAAAAAGTGGTCATTAAACCCGTGATCTTATGGAAATCACCAAAAAAACCGCAAAACCCAAGGACAAAAAGCAGCCAAAGTCATGAAACTTTAGACGCATTTAGAACATGTGATCAATGATTTTTTGAGTGAAAAAGATTGTCGCCTAGGAACATTGTTTATTAATAATAGCGAAAAAAGTACTGAAAAATGGAATTTCTGCACACGCAGCCCAAACGAGCAGCAACGTCCCAGTTAATTGACGGCTTCAGTATTTAACGGTAATTATGATTTATGGAGATGGCTATCCCTGGAAAGACTACTCAGAAACATATCGATAACTCTAGTCCCCATGATTCTTCAGAATCAAACGAAAAACTTCCGGATTACCCTTAGAAGTACCTTCTATCCCCTTCGCCCTCCTGCCGTCGACATGATTTATCGTGTGGCGCATGCCACAATGACTTCTCAACCCCAGAATCACCGATTGGGGGCTTATGCTCTCGAAGTAACTCACAATATCGTCATTCTCTTCACGTAACAAAAATAATGAAAAAACTCTCGGAAACTCCGAGTTTCCCAACTTTTTTTTAGTGCACATCATGCATATTACTCCCCCGTATCCATTACTGTCACTCTTATATAAAAAAATGGACTTTCTTGATGTAAGAAAATGGGTACGAAAATATACTCGAGCCACAGGGGGAAAACAACCGAATCACGGATAGTTTTAGAGTTGAGTCGATGATTCAATTGCGGATAGAAATGGTGAAGTGAATCGTTATCTCGCGAGTGCTTCCCGTGAAGTGATCAATAAATCCTCTGTCCCCTCCAAATGAAAGTTGAGAGGGTCGGGAGGTGCTGGACTGGAAGAGGCAAATTTCACTTTTAAAGGATTAAAATCTGATGGAACCGACGTCGGTGGCCGAGTGGATTAGACGCAAGTCTAGTGTGCGAAAGGTTGTGAGTTCGATTCCCCGTGGAACCGAATTTTTCAACGGAAGGCTCCGGCGAGCGGGAGGTTGCTAATAGAGGAACCGCCTGTACCGGCATGGGTTTTCTGTGGTTTCCCCATGCTACTTCTATNAAAAAAAAAAAAAAAAAAAAAAAAAATCTGATGATAGCTTAAATCCGAGGTAATGATACCCGAAAAATGTGCTCGCGGGCTAATCCCAAGAGCCCTGAAAATCTAATCGCCTATCCATTTTCCGAATGCAAATGGTCTAGACTGTTATGAAATATGAAGAAATGATGTTTTTAGGGTCATGTCTGGGTGCATGTATGTGACAACTTGGGTTTTATCCGCCGTTACTCCGTCTAGTAATGATTAATTTTTAGAAAATTCAACATAAATACGGGGAAATTTGGGAATAAAACCAATGGAATTGGTAGAAATAATAAAGAAATGGACTAATACCACAAAAAGTAGCAAGTAGCTGATTGTTTTATTTTCTGAGCGGGCGGTAAGGTAGAGGGTAAGTGGACTTCCCCCAACTCTCACCAAATAATATTTTTTACTTTGTGTTTCAGGTCGCTAAACTATTCTCCTACACCTGGGAGATGGGTTGGTTCTTGTGTAAATCTGTCCATTATATGCAGAGTGTATCAGCCATCTGTTCAGTCCTCACCCTAACAGCGATGTCCGTTGAAAGGTGAGTTGAGTACAACATTAGCTTTTATCTCTCACCTTCAAAGCAAATGAAAAAAACTGCGAATAAAATCTTTCATTCACGGAGTTGTTCTCGTTGCCACTAATGAACGCAATTTTCGAGCTCTATATGTTCCCCTCCTCTCTGATGTCACCGATTGCCCGAGGACCTAATTAAATCATTGTCCACGGAAACGATCCCTGGGAAGCGTCACAAGTTCACGAATCTCATGGAAATCAGTACACGTCCCAGTCCCAATGTAACTCAATGAACGATTAACAAAGTTCTGGGTTATTTCGTTGCCGGGAATGGGAGTGCAATGTGTCGTATTCATCCCGAAGTTCGGACATTGTTGTAGGAATTACAATTCATTTAACAATTATGCGTATTGAAGGAAATTTAATCTCTCACGTACGGAGTCCATATAACGCGGCTTGTCCCATCGGCCGGGGGACTTACGACGCGTCAACTCCGTTATTCAATGAGCGATAACATGAAAACAGTTAAACGAAAAAAATTGAAATAAAATACATTGGCTGCAGTGAACATTGAAATAAACTCCCTAAGAACTGTTTTTTCCCATAATTTTCTAATTTTTGACACCAATTTCAATGTTTGCGATAATTGGTTGCCGAGATCTTCGAACATGCTAAATTTATTTATAACAAACAAATTATTCAACAAATCGAAATTTAACTTCTGCCATTCGATGGAAGGATCATTAAAATATTTTCAGGAAAAATTTCAAATTTTTTGGGGGAAATTTTGTCAATAAATGAGATAATTTAATATGATTGAATCGGTTCGATGTAAAATCTTCATGTACAACTTTTGTTCATAGATGAAAAATATTATAAATGCATTGAAAAAAAATAGTTCACTGCAGTGACAATTCCATTGACTTTCCAAATGTCAATATGTCTCTCAGAATTCGAGAAAATGATTTTTTACTGTTGACGGAGAGGGTCGATACCATGCATTGACCCCGGTCGATAAGATAAACTTATGGGTCGATGGATTGACGCCGTACGTGAGGGGTTAAACAAATGGAAATAATTTTTGTGAAATGATTTTTTAGTGCCCATTTCGCCGCAGTATTGATTAGCTACAGTAAAAAAAATTGAAATAGTTGAAAATGAAGTTTAAATTACTGAGATTCGATGGAAAATTGGGCGATGCGAGTCACGTGCTGAGAGCTCCCACTACATTTTTTCTATCTCCTCCATTGTTTTCTTTTAATCGTCTAGTCGAAGAAATTCACTGGGCATATTCCGAAGTCTGTCCTCATCTCCATATGCCAGTATTGGTAGAAACCGCGAAGAAAAATCTCTCCTCCCCTATCTTTATTCGACAATTTATATTCATGAGTTTCATCGTCTGTCTTTCATTTTTTTCGTCCTGTGATTTTGATTCATGTTTTATATTCATACGTTACGTTCACAGGGGGAACTAACCCTTTTTTACTCCCGCTCAAATTTAAGTTTTCATTTTTTTTGTGTTCGGGTCGAGGGGCTATTCACAGGCGAATTCGGTGACACCGCGATTAGAAAATGTAATTGATTACCCAGGATTACGGGACTGATTACACTGATTACCATTGTCTATGTGATAACCGTGATTACCAAGAGCACAGAATGTGATTACATGATTACAAATGATTTCGTCGACTACATTCTGTGATTATCAAACATCTGTAATCATTGAAATCACAAAAAATGGCCTCTTATTAAATATGAGTTGATGGAATAATTAATTATTAGAATCGGCAAAGAAATGAGGAAGGAGGGGCGGGGATCAGAACAGAGGAATGCAGTCTCCATCACTCCATCTAAAAATTTGGGCATTTATATCAGCATTTATTTATATCGGCATTTTGCTATCAGCAAAATAAATTCACTGAATATCTACCATTGATGGAGAATGAAACTTATCAGCAGATAATTCAGAGATAATTCAGTCGTTGGTTCTCAAGAATAAGAAGAAATTTTAACTCTATTGAATCAATTTTCTACGGACGAATGCTCTGTGCAAAACGCATTGGCTATGCAAGGTTCTGACCCATAAACATCTGGGATTCCAAGAAAAATTGATCCAGGGATCTCTGAGACTTACCGTTGGTAGAAATAACGCGCTCGAAAATTCAAAAACAAAATTCACGGTCTCACTAGCAGCAACTACGAAAGATTACACTGATTACAAATGATTACAGTAGTAATTTAATCACTGCTANAAAGATTACACTGATTACAAATGATTACAGTAGTAATTAAATCACTGCTAGAAAAGTATATTTCAATGCCTTCTTAATCAAGTTGAAAAATGGTGAGAACAGCATCATTGCTCATCAAGTTACACAATACCGTCATGAGCTTTTTATAAAAATCTCTATCTCTATTAAACTCAGGTACCAGTCTATCATGTTGAATACTTATTCATATTGATTCGTGGTCCCGACTAATTACTGACAGAACCTGGGCTAAATCCTAAATAAACCCTGATTAAAAACCGACGTCGGTGGCCGAGTGGATTAGACGCAAGTCTAGTGTGCGAAAGGTTGTGAGTTCGATTCCCCGTGGAACCGAATTTTTCAACGGAAGGCTCCGGCGAGCGGGAGGTTGCTAATAGAGGAACCGCCTGTACCGGCATGGGTTTTCTGTGGTTTCCCCATGCTACGTCTATGTTCTATAGAANAAAAAAAAAAAAAAAAAAAAAAAAAAAAAAAAAAAAAAAAAAAAAAAAAAAAAAAAAAAAAAAAAAAAAAAAAAAAAAAAAAAAAAAAAAAAAAAAAAAAAAAAAAAAAAAAAAAAAAAAAAAAAAAAAAAAAAAAAAAAAAACCCTGATTAAACCCGGACTGAAAACGAATCCCAGTCTTGAGTGGGCGTGAATGTAGAATTATTTGACAGAACTAAATAATACCGAAAATTTTGATGACATTTCAGTTGATGATGGTACTACGATCTGAAAAAATAGAAGAGAATAGTAAAATGAAAATTGAACACAAAGAGAATTTATTAGCAAGAATTACTAAACTCATTTATAAAAAATACCATTGTCCTTTTGTTTTTTTTTATTGACATCATTGGTTGACAAAGTCCACTGATCCTCCAGCAGACACTCATTAAAACCCAACGACCAAACGTACAAACTATAAATATCAATTTTTCATTCCAGATACTACGCAATTGTACACCCAATGAGGGCACAGTACACCTGCACCATAAGTCAAGCCCGACGGATCGTTCTCATAACGTGGTTTGCCTCCTTTTTCCTCGCCGTTCCCATTTGGTTTGCGCAGGTAAAAATGATCATTATCCCATAATTGATGCTCATTGCACACTATCATCGAGTCCCTCACTCGTTAACAATCAATTGGCCTCACACCTCCACCAGAAAAATGATTTATTGGAATGAAATAAAGTTTATTTAAATAGTAGGAGAGAGTGGGCAAAATTAAAAGTTGAAAGTACGACTGTTTGACGCAACAAGCAAAATAGTATATTTCGTAACGAGTGCAAAAAAGTGTTTTTTGGCGAAGGCGAGTGATATAATCCCACGAGCTAAAAAACATTTTTTCACGAGTTACGAACTAGTATATTACGCAACAAGTGCGTAATGGGTTTTTTGGCTCGTGGGAAGTTGTAAAACGAGCCGAAGGCGAGTTTTACAATCCCACGAGTCAAAAAACACCATTAAGCANACGCGGAGCGTACCGAAAAGTTCACTTTTCGTCACAGCGTGATGAAAAAATTTTTTTGATCAACTATTTTCTCTTTATTAATTTTTGTTTATTAACTTTCTTTATTATTGGGAGAACTGATTAGAATAACAATTTTCTATTCAGTAGAATGGAGATTGGATTTTGTAATTGAAAAGAAAATGAAACATTAAAATCGAAAGTCCAGAGGAAGGTCTAGGGGGAGACCGAGATTGGGAAAAAGGAAAATGTGATACAAATTAAATAAAAAAACTTATTCTAACTTTTCTTCATATTAAATAAATGTTTTTTTACGATTAATAAATCTTCATCTGATAAAAATACACTCTTTATTCATACCAAATAAACAGTTTTCTTATACTATGAAAATTTCTTTATTTGAATGGAATAAATTTTTTCTTTGAACTAAATAAATATTTATTCCATTCAAAAGAACCATTTTTCTGGGTTCTGAGTGATATCTCTTCGATGGATTCATCAATGCCATATCCAACTGAGACATTAGCGCACAGTTGCGAAAATTTCCAACGAAGAATTCATAATCATTTTCCTCGACATTTAGACACACAAAGAAGTCGGCGAACGCTACAAATCCTACTGGTGCGTCCGGGATTCGGATCAAGAAACACTCTGGCGTATTCACGAAGTTTACATGCTCCTCCTCGTGCTCGCCGTGCCACTGGTGGTTATGGCTTTCTGTTACACAGCAATATGCTGGGAGATATGGCGTGTCATGAAGCGACGATATCACATGACATCCAGACACGCGTGAGTACATGACATTTTTTATTATCAATTCTTTGTCATACAATCCGTCTATGACAATCTATACCTCGGGCTCAAGCTCACACTCGTATTACACAATAGCATATTCATTTTTTACACTACATCAAACTTGAATAAAAAAGATCCTCAATTTTCTAAAATGCGTCGCGAAAATTACTGATCCCTTCAATATTTATTAAACCCATTTTGCTCCCTATCCGTATATTTTATTGATTACTAGGGGGCAACGTCCCCTGCTCGCTTCGCTCGCCAACACTCATACGACCCCCATGATCCTTATTCTGACCCTTGTGACCCTCAATTTGACCCTCGTGATTCTCACCTTTAATTTTGGAGTCTTAATTTCGAGCACGTAATTTTGGATTTTTACAATATAAGGAGATAGAGAGGGCCCCATATGACCTCCACGACCCTTGTGACCCTTAATCTGATCCTCGTGATACTCACTCCGACCCTCATCATACTCCTCGTGACCCTTATTTTGACCCTTCATTTCTGACCTTTAATTTTGGAGTCTTAATTTCGAGCACCAAATTTGCATCACTCAAAGTCAATTTGGATTTTTACAATATGAAGAGATAGAGAGAGCCCCACATGACCTCCATGACCTTTATTCTGAGCCTTGTGACCTTTAATCTGACCTTCGTCACTTAATTCTAGCCTTGACCTTCTGACCCTTATTTTGACCCTCCATTTCTGACCCCTAATTTCGCGGACAAATTTTCATCATCGAAAGTCGATTTGGGTTTTCACAATATAGAGAGATATTGAGACCCTTATTTTGACACTTGTGCCCCTTAGTTTCTGACCTCCACGACCCTTATTTGAACGCTTAGTATGATTTTTGTGTTCCTTAAGCGTGCGACCCTTAATCTGACCCTCATGACCCTTATTCTGACCATGACCTTTAATTTTGGTGTCTTAATTTTGAGTACCAAATTTTTGTCACCAGAAGTCGATTTGGATTTTTGTAATATAGAGAGATTTTCTGCTTTTTAAATTTTTTTATATTTCAGCTGAATTATTATTTCTCCAACCGCTTGTATTTTTATATTTGAGATAATTCTGTTAGTCTTTTCTCCTGGAATTGAGGCTAATCCACCAGCTAAACCCAGTCTCAATCATTTCCCCATTTTCGTGGAGATTATATCGTAGGGATTTGGAAAATGGTACTGCTGAAGCAATTAGTCCGTATCTGCTGATAATCCCTCTATGATGAATTCATTAACGTATTTCATCGAGTTTTTGCACTGTGAAGTGCATAAATATTCATATTAAATTTGAATAAATTTGCATTTATGGAATATGAGTCAGTCATTATAACCGAACGTTCCTATCACCCATTTCTGGTGTAATCATTGCTGACATTGACTGAACGGGCTAGAATAGTCGATATTTTTTACCCCGAAATTTCAGGTGCTTTTACAACTCCAAGCACTGATAAAAAAAATTTGACTGTATTTTTCGGAAAGAGTCCTTGAATTAGATTTAAGGTGAGACTATGAGTTTTAAATGACGCGGACTGTTGGTATGACATTTCTCATACATTGAAAATCGATTATGTATGTCTAAAAACGAATACAATTAGTGCTAAAAAACTAATTGTCTATTGTTCGTTTGCCCCACATACGCTTAAAATGTTAAAAATAGTCCAAGGCCTCCAATCTTTCAGCTACAGAGGGATTTTTTTCAAAATTGCTAAAAAATGTGTGCAACAACAATTACGAATTCGTTTTTTTAAATTCGACATAAGTAAAAAATTTCAAATAACGAATTTTATTCGATTAAAAAACTTTTTTCTGGGTAGACGTGTCTGGTGGCTTATTTTCCGTCATGAAAATCAGAATTTAGGTTTCAAAAATTTTACCGTCAAAATAAAAACGTAAATCCGCCCAAAAAACGTCTTACGATTTACTTATCCGTAGTTTACGAAATAAAAATCCTATTTTACGTTTGAAATAATTATCAACGTAAAAGACGACTTCTTAAACGTAATTTACGTCTAATTTTTTCTGTGTGCCATAATCAACAAAAATCGCACGCATGACAAAATTCAATAGAAAACCTAGTAAATTCGCTAAAAAATTCTATTGGAATTCTATAAGAATTCTATGGGATTTCCATGGGATTTCTATTGGAATTCTATTGAAAAATTCCATTTCTTTTTTGCGCAGATTCTATTAGATATTCAATGAGCAAAAAATCAATAGATTTCAAATTTCTATTTGAATTTTCTCTTAGACTTTTTCTATTAGAATTATTGATCATAAATTTTCCAAGTTTTTCCCGCTGAATTTTGTTTTGTTTCGCATTGCAGAATCCAAGTGGAAAAAACTTAGAAAATTGATGACCAAGCATTTTCATAGAAAAAATCTCAAGAGAAAAATTCGAACGGAAATTCGAAATCTATTGATTTTTTCTTACCGAATATCCAATAGAATCAGCGCAAAAAACAAATAGAGTTATCACTAGAATTTCCATGGAAATCCTTTAGAAACCCCACAGAATTCCTATAGAATTCCAATAGAATTTTTTAGCAAATTCGCTAGGTTTTCTATTGAATTTTTTCATATGTGCACCCCCCCCCCCCGTCAATCTCATCATCTCGTGAAATGGAGATGCGACGGGGTAATTTATCCAAAATGTTTGGATATGCAAGTCGCCTGCTCTCCACGTCGTTGTTTTTTCCCCAAGATGTACATGAACCAATGCTTCAAACGAACTGAACTATTTGCTGTCGGATCGTTTGGCGTTTACAGCCTGAGAGAACGAAACAGCAGCCTTCACTCATGACCCGCTCTGCCCCTCCTCTTGGAGTGCGCGCTGTATATAAGGATTTTGGTGCTCATAAATCATATCCCACTGCATATGGAGAAAAATATTTCTCTTCCTTCATATTGTCGTATATTACTGGGGGAAAGAGCGCCAGCTTCATCGGGAAATATGGAGGATTGGGGAAACAGGTTGTGCCATTGGGGTGTCCGGGGAATTTCGACTCAATAATTCAATATAGAGCCCCCATTTCGTCCCATTAGTCATGGAATTACAGAGAAAAAATACCACCCGATAATCGTCCAATTAGCAAAATACGAAGGTGAAAAGGGAATAGGGAACACAAACTGCATTGATTAACGTTATTATATTTATCGATATTAATAAAGTGTTATTAGACGTCATTGCCTGCCACGAGGGGAAATATATTTTTTTAGTTGTCAAAGAACCTGGGGATTTTCGAATAAGTGGAAAATTGATAGCATCGCCTTAAGAGATTTACTTTCTCAATTTTCTGGGCTCAAACATGATGTCTAGCATTTTCCCCTGGAGATCGCGGAATATCTCTCTGAATAGATTTCTTCTGGCGGAAGTTATGCAACAGTGAACTGAAGACGATTGAATATTTCAACTGCGAGTGGCTCACAAGAGCCTGTGAAACATTGAAATTATGAATTCGGGAAATTTATCAGCCCAGGAATTCCTCAACATGAATTTTCTATGGTTTTTCCAATCTATTTTTCTCATGTTTTGAACAAAAACAAGTGGGAAATTGTTCTTGTATTGCATGTAGTATTTAAAAATTGTAGTAAATTTTTTCTAATAAATTCAATATTAGTGATGCCGCGAGACAATTTACGAGACAAAAGTTTGGAGAGATGATCTCGTTCTCAATGACCACGGAAATCATTGCTGTCATCTCAGTCTCGAAATATCGACTCCTCTCGTGATGACTTCGAGTCAATTTATCTCATCTCAGTCTCATGTTTTTCATGTTTTTCGTGTTATTGACTACCTGATAATCTAACAGTAATTATAATTTATGGATATGGCTATCCCTGTTGATGTAAAACAAAAAATCCGAAACTTAAAATTGAACGATTATGAAATTTCCCTTCGGAAGCAAAAGAATCAAACCAACAAAAATAATTGGTAACAAATATGTTTATATTGATTTCTTCCACAGAATATTCTTCACTGAACATTTCTATTGGAAGAAGATCGCAAATAGCGAATTCACTCGGTTTTTCTATGAAGTTTGTTTGCACGTGGACCAGTCATGATATTTGAAATGAATCACGTTTTGAATTACATCATTAATTCAAGTTACACCCACCTGGCGTTTCCCAAAGTGAGCTTGGTTGTCCCAAGTCATTTATTATTCCCCTCTTCATATTATATTGCACATTGTAAAGTTCGTGTAAGTATTCTGGAACGTCAGCCGTAATTCAAGGTCAACAAAAACACCACTGACAAGCATAGATCGACATCAATCATTACTTTTAGTAATATTGTGAGAAGTGGCACCTTATAGTAATTTAGATTTATTTATCGTAATTGAAATTTGAAAATTTATATAATAATTGATAATTTAATTTCTCAATTATTGGGTGATAAAATAATTCGAATTTGAATATTTAAGTTGATGATTGATAAAATAAATCGGAATTTGAAAATTTAAATTGATGGTTATTTTTAAAAATCAAAAAATTGGTGAGTAATGTTAACAATTGACTTATTTCAAATTAAACTGTAATCCAAAATTTCGATTATGCCGATGTCTGCCGACAAGAACCCGTCACGTCATCTCGCAATCCATCGCCATTCGCCAATGCGCATTGCCTAATTGATGAAAATAGAGTTGAATCAGAGCTAAACGCGAATTTTATCGTTCTGTTATTGAGAATCATCGATGCGTTTCCGGGTAATCCATCGGCGAAAACGTGCAGATTGTCGATAAATCACTCAATCCTCGGAGATTTGCGGTGGCCTGGCGTAGTGGTTAAGGCCGTTGCCTCACAACGGATAGGTTCCAGGTTCGATTCCTGGCCGGGTAGAATGGTGAGATCTAACCATTTTTAAAGTCTTGATCAATCGCCATATAGTCTCATCAGACTCGAAGCGATATAAAAATAAGCATAAAAAAAAAAAAAAAATCCTCGGGGATTATATGGATGGAACCGTAATTATTCATTCAATTCTCATTAGGCTCCCGAGTCGAATAATTGGACCTGACAAGTTCCACTTAGGTCTTTCCGTTCAGAACTGGATAGGTCTTGGGAAGCCTCTTCCCAATTGCTTCCGAGACCTTTCTACCTCTGGTTATGTCCCATTTCAGCACTTGTTAGGTGTAAGCAGGACTTTGGCCCTCGTGACCCTTGTGAAATAACCCCACCCTTTTCCCTCACCAAAAAACTTACAGACTTCCGTAGTATCATTCCAACGACAGCACTCGTCTGCATGTGAAGCTGACGCGAGACACAAAAAAAAACAGGAAAAAAAATCACGAGGGGCGACAAAAGCGAGATGAGGTGTCGTATACAAACGTGAGCACGACACTCTCCTCGCTTACCATTTTTTTTGTCATAAAACCTGGGAAAAATGTGAGCGAAAAATTTCGAAATAACGGAAGGAGAGGGAAAAATCTAGGAAAAAGAATTTTTGCATAATTTTATAGATTGAACCCCTCGACGACCAGCAACAATGTCACAAATGGGGAGTGCATACCGATGACAGACAGGCGTCGGAGTGCGGAGCGTTCCCGACGTCTCCGAGGGCGTCGGGCCGACTCGAGAACCGAGATGGAGTCACGTACGATGAAGCAGGTAATTAGCAAATGAGTTTAGAGTTAAAGGAAAAGGAGTCTTTGGGGTAAAAGACACGTTAATTTACCTTGTATGGATTTTTATGCATGTTTATAGGAACTTTTTACCTCACTACATTATTATTCTTATTTAAATCCGAGCAATCGTTGAGGCCTACATGTTTGAAGTGTGAATTTTCTAACAGTTGAAACGAGCAGGGGGTCGAGCCTACCCGACAGAAGTCATGTGACCGTTACTTTTTGCGGCATTAGTTTTTTTCTTTTTTTATTTCTACCAATTCCGTTGGTAGGATAAACAGGCCAATAGGGCCAATAGGCAGGGCTGAAACAAGGCGCCAAAATTAAACTCAATCATAGCTACAATGAGCCAAAATTTCAGATTGTTATCTCCAAATTACCCCGTATTTATGTTGAATTTTCCAAAAATTAATCACTTGTAATACCACAAGAGCTTCAAAATTATCGGGTATTTTCCGATAGGTTCGTTTGTATGCAGGGAACCTTGAGGAAAATGCCCGATTAATTTTGAAGCTCGTGTGGTATTCAGGGGATTATTTTTCCAATCCAAATGTCGAGCAATATAATTGGACCATGAGACGAAACTCACAATTGAGAAACGAAAATTGTATAATTAACTCAACAGCATTCAATGTGTGTGTCAGCACTCAATGTGTAGTTTCTCTCATCACAAAAACTGTTAAATTGATTCCAAATTGTCTTCTTCGTTTTCTCCGTATTGACGGGAATATTCCCCTTTACTTTTTCATCAATGGTTTTTAGGGAATGAACTCCGAATCTACTCATTTCGAATAAAGATCCTCGGATTACCGCAATTGAATGCAATCTGTCAGTTTGACGAGGGGTTAATTCGACTGCATGATGTTTTGTTTTTTATATAGCAACTACCAGAGAAAATTATCAAAAAATTATCAGTTGAAAACCCTGTAGCTTGTACCACGTGATGTCGAATGGACCAATTATATTGCCCGATATTTGGGTTGGAAAAATAATCACCAAAAACCCAAGTAGTCGGATTCATAGGGACAGACATGACCCTGAAAATATCATTTCTTCGCATTTCATAACATTCTAGACCATTTGCAATCAAAACCGAAAAATCGGTCAAAAGTTTGTCATTCGAACGCAACAAGCTGAAATAGTATAGAATTTTAATGACCCCTCAACAATTTTGTTCCCATAATTTTCTAAAAATTACATCATCCTTATTTTTTCACGTCCCTCCAGGTCGTAAAAATGCTCGTTGCTGTGGTGGTGTTATTCGCCATATGCTGGAGTCCAATGCTAATAGATAATGTGTTAACGGCGTATGGAGTCCTCCCACGGCTCAAGTCTGGGGTTATAAAGCACATGAATACTGCATTTCAACTTATGGCGTATTTTAACAGGTAAAAAATCTGGAAAATTTCCGCCGCTCCATTCTACCTTATCTATTCTTATTTGATGTTGGGAAACGTTTGAATAATGAATGAGAATTTAATTTGTTCTTTCAGCTGCATAAATCCAATAATTTACGGATTCATGTCGAAACACTTCAGAGAGAGCTTTTTGGCTGCTGCCTGTGGCGCGTGGTGTTGCCTCAGGCAGAGGGTTTACTTTCCCCCTGTCAAGCGACATACCAGCCTCAGCCAGACGAGAACGACGAGTGTCAGGTAAACACTATTTTCTTCTAATAAAATGAATCATTAATTCCCTCGACTCTCAATTAAAATTTTTGCTCTGTCATTTTTTGGGATAAATTCCTATTTTCCATGAATTTCCGAATTGGAATTTTTCCATAAAAAAATACCAGAAAAACAAACTGAAGGGGGAAGACTGAGGCTGAAGAGGAATTTACCGCTCTATTTTCACTAAATTTCTTTTTCTCTGAGGGAAATATTGCTTCTGAGGAGTTGCAAAGTCAAAGGTAGGATGAAAGGGGACATGATTGTTATTTCGCACTCATCAATGAACCTTCGAAGTCCTTTCGAGTCGATGAATCCACAGGAGTACGCATAATTAAATTCTACTCCAGCTTTGAATTCCGGGGGAACATTTGGATGTAATTGAAGTGAATAAACGCGTCAATTTCATGAGATTAAATAGAAATTGGACGAGAATGAATGAAATTTTGAGGATCAGCCAACATTTTCTCAATTATGAACAATAAAATTTTATTAAGGGGAGACTACTATAAGATTATATGTCTAAAAACGAATACTAAGTGCAAATAAATTAATTGTTTATTGCTCGATTCCGCCGTAGATGTTAGAAAGGTTTAAAATAGGCCAGGGCCTCGGGTTAGGGCTAACATTCATCCCCGAATAACTCCGATCGCACTGACGATAAAATTCTATCATCAACCTAATTAGATATCCAGTGAATGAATTCCATTATTATTCAGAAACGACAGATAGTCAACGTGTGCAATCCAACATATCATACCTCCAGACATCTGTCAGATAGTTATCAAAATACCCTGTCCCGTCATCCCCGAAATGATTATAAATAAAACAATTTAAAACACTCAAGGTAAATCAATTAAATTTCCCCCACGAAAACAAAGCAAGTGCTCTACTTTACATAAATATGAAAAATGGAATGAAAAATGGTCTCGACCCTCTTCTACCGCGCAACAATGACAAATGATCGGATTTTTCATGCATGCACATACCGCAAGTGTTGACGCCCGCGTGATAAATGATATTCCCAAATTTTTCAATTCTTTTAATCATGAAATTAGTCAGGTCATCCCTCTGTTTCAGATGGACCTGATGATGTCGACTTGGCGGAGATTAATTACCGTCAATCCTATACTTTTCCAAAGATAATTTATGTACGTTTCTATGTCTCTAAATGCAAATAATTTGCAGCTATTGCAGTGTTTGTAAATGAATTTTTTTATCCTTCTCTGTTTTTATAAAAAAGTCGTTATCAATTTTGTTGGTGAATTTGTTGATCATGAATGTTACAAGAGAATTAATTTTTTATAAGAATTCTGCAAGGGAATGTGAAGGCTTTGCACAAATATTTTGCTTGAGTTATTGACAATTCCATTTCCTCCTTCGTATATTCGAAGATATAAACATTTGCCAAAGAAAGATTTATAAAATGAATCGAGATAGTTGATTAATTAATTTATGATGATTGGCAATACGCGGTGTAGTGAAGAAATTGTAGAACATGATGAAGCTATTTTTTAATCTAAGGGAATTTAAGGCTGGAGCATTTCACCAAGTTTAGGGGAGAGTGAGGCAATATGGAACCGCCGAACAACGACTATTTGACGCAATCCAAGTAAAAAAAAATTTATCATCTTTTTTTTATTATTGGGAGTACTGATGAGAATAATAATTTTCTATTCGGCAGAAATGAACATGCGGGGCGAAAAAATCAGTGATATTCGAAATCTGTATAGCGTAGCAACTACCTCCAGAGATGAATGACCCTAATCAGTAGAAATTTCATAACTTCCGAAAAAACTCATTAAAAAATATGAAAAAAATTGTATGCCCTACTGATTTTATCTAAATGCAGACTCTGCCATTTCTGACCATGGGCAAAATCCCTGATTAGAGAAAATTCACTCCTATAGCTAACTGGAAATAAAAAATACGGCGCCGTGCCGCGACGCGACTAATCGTGTCATGGAAATATTTCACGCGGTGTAGCCACACTTGTGGCTGCCGGGAAATCAGCGAGTCCACTCTCCGAATGAATTGTGGCAACGGCGCGCTCAGATTTACATTACGGCGGTAACGGCGGTACCCGCAGTTTCACGAGGGTAACGAAGGGTTAATAAACAAAAGTTGATGAAAAAAAAGTAGATAAAAAAATTTTTTTTTGCTTGAATTGCGTCAAACAGTCGTTTTTAGACTGTTTCATTTTGCCCCACGTGTCATTTTACCCCACTGTTTCATTTTGCCCCACTCTCCCCTAAGTGTCGATTTGTATTCGTTGAGGACACGGTATTGGAGAACAAGAGGGAATAAATGCGCGAAAAATGATGCATTTTCTCGTAAAAACGTACAAAATGTTCTATTACTTTAAATTATATTTATTTTTTGTTCTACTTTAACTCATCTTTTTTTCAAATTGAATCCAACAATTCATCAATTTGTTTCACTCTCTATTAAAAAAAATCTTGAGCAGAAAAATTTAATTAGTTTTCAAGTTTAATCAATTTTTAAATTGAAAAAAATTCATTCGCAGATTTTCATATTCCTTTATAAGCATCAAAAACGGAAAAATGTTATTCCTCTGATCTCCGGATCCAAATATACGTACACGGTGTATCCACGGAACATTGCACACAGGCATTTATTTACTAGAACTTCATAAACAGATGGAGAAATCGTAACCAGTGTTTTCATTCGGTTTTAACATTTTTTCCAAGTTCCAAGGCAGCTTACGTCGAACGAAAATTTTCAGGGAAATTGTATATATGTATCACGCGAATATGTGTTTAGATCATATCCTAGATGTAATTTTGAGAGACTAATAAATTTAATTTCAATTACAAAAACCAATCTATTCTCCATTTTTTTGAAAAGACGCTATTTCAGTTGAATTCAATATCATTTTACAAATCATAAATAAATAAATAAATATAAATAAATACATAAATGGATAAATTATGAAGCACAAAATGGAAGTAAAAAATTGACAAATTCATGAAGAAGTAAATAAAAACATCTGAGAGAAAAAAATCCATAAATTCAATATTTACCATTTTCCGCTGAAGACAACTGATGAGAGATGTGCACATTCTCTGGAAATCCAGGTGACATGTTTCGAACAGCGAGAAGACGCGAGAGATGACGAAAGAAAAAAAAAGAAAAAAAGAAAAAAAAAAGAAAGAAAATAAATTCAAAGGAAAACCGTTGGAACTTTTACTGGAATCATCACAGATGGCTGAACATCATGCATGAATGATAACCATCATAAAATACATCGTCAACATCCCGCGTCACTCTTCCTTCCCCCAGTATAAAGTTGATATTAATTCCAATTTTTCTCTTCTGGAGAATTTAAAATGCAATTTTTTCACGGGTTGAGGATCTAGGGTTGAGAGTCTGAATGTAAAATTATTTGACAGAACAAAAAAAACGCGAAAATTTGATGACATTTCAATGGATGATGGTACACTGAGAAAAAATTACTTCTGTCCCGTAAATTTACTTGCCACAAGTAAATGTATATGGCTATTTGCATTTGAAATGTGTGGATTCTCTTGTAGTTGGTAAATTAACTTGACAAAAGTAATTTTTTTTCTCAGTGTAGTACATCAAAAAATAGAAGAAGAGAAGAGCAAAATAAGAATTGAAAAAAAAGAGAACCCATTCGGAAGCAAATTGCTAATTCATTAGCAACAATTACTATACTCATTTATAAAGGAAATGCCATTGTCCACTTGTTTTTGTCTGAAAAGGAAAAAGAGAGAGAAACGTAGAAACGTCGAAAAATCATATGAAGGAGTTCATCCCAGGTGTGAATAAATGACGGAATAAAGATAGGATCAGGCTTGATTCAAGATTGATCAAGGCTGAGCAAGCCTGGATTCTCAAGGCTGAAATAAGCTAGCACGAAGATCGAAAACTGACCAAGTTTCCAAGGCTGAAGGTTCCAGTCTCGAGCGAGGCCTATGAGCCTGGTTTTTTTTCTTTTTTTCCTGGGCTGCTATTAATGAATTTAAACCTCTTTGAGACATTTCATATTATATGATGGATGCTCACATAGATCATATTATATGATAAATGTTGAAGGCATGTTGATTTAAATATTAAATTCATTAAGGTATTAAAATTAAATTCAAGAATCATAATTAAGTTCAAACGGTTTTCCTTTTTTTTTTTACACCCTTGATATGAGGATTGGATCCAGGTCTGCATCCCAAGCCTAAGCTGAGCATTTGGGGTCAAAACTCGAATTCGTAATATGACCAATAAATTTTGGTTTTTGTTTAAAGACCAATGATCAAGCTCATCAATCAAGATTCATGAATCCAACAATTATTTTTCTCACACACACTTCATTTTATGCATGGTTTTGATATTTTTTGCGATAAGCGAATTAGTTAGAAAATTCAATTGGAATTCTCTTGAACTTTCTATCAGTTTTTAGCCGATTCGACTGAAATGACCAATAGAAAATATTCTGTAGGAAAAGTCAATAGAATTTGTTTTTTTTATACAACTTACTCCATTTCCAATAGAATTTCCTCAGCTCCAAGTTTTCAAGTTTCTTTGTTTGATTTTCTTGATGAAAAGAAAAGAAAAATACAATGAAAAAGACGTAGAAAGTTTGAGCCGAGGGAATTCTATGAAGGATATCTTAATAGAATAAATTGTATAGAAAAGGCGAATTCTATTGTCTTTTTCTCTGGAATATTTTCTATTAAACATTTCAATAGAATCAGCCAAAAACGAATAGAAAGTTGAATAGAAATCTAATGAGATTGTTTAGCGAATTCGCAGGGGTTTTCTATTCAAATTGTCTCGTGCGTGGTTTCATGCAGAATTCACTGGACCCTTCTGATATTTTCCGAGGACACATTGAATTTTTGTGCCCCATCAGAAGAACGGCACTCGGCCGAGAGGTGCCCCTTTATCGCCCGGATCATTGAATATTCAAGCGGTATGATGGAGTGGGCTCATTTATGTCGCGATATACGAGACCAAATTTTCTGATTTAACACAGTTGTACAGACGGATAACCGCACCCGAGTGAGCGTTCTCCTTTAAATATTAATTCCACGGGGTTTTTCTTGCGTTCAAGTGAGTTCGCTCACGCTAAAAAAGTATGGTAATGAAGAGGGTAGCATGATGAAGATGTTTGAGGGTAATATATTCGCGCGAGGGGGTGAGTGATTGTGAACATAAAAACATTGAGTCAATCGTGCGTTTAAAATCAATTCTGCACAAGTGGTTAAAATAAATCGTTTTGTTGAGATTTTCTTCAATACCTCAAGCATATTTTTAAAAATAAACGAATGACGACGGATCTCTTCACTTCCCTCGACTTCAAGAATACTCAATTTTAGATATAATTACAGATATAGTCCACTTGTCATCGTCTCAAGAGGTCAGCGATATAATCAGCGGTAATCAATATAATCAATTGAGCTATAATCAATTTATCTCTCAAACCCCACGGATTGGCTGTCAGTGTAATCGGGTGTGAACCTGGAGCCAATCAATGGGTGGTTGATTGCATTGACAAAATGCCCACAAAAAATGAACAGAAGCTCCCGTGCAAAAGCAAAAATCGATGAAATTTCATTTGTCAAATTTTCTCCCAACATCTGCCAGAATAATGAAAAATTAATTAAACGCCACCACCACCCTCTCTCCCTCCGCACAACTATCAACACTTGATTCAATTCCTTTGTTCACAGGAAAATTAATTTCCCCTAACGCTTCAGCCGAATTAAAAATCCCTGAGGACAAAAATCTCAGGAGGAGTGTTCCTGGAAAGGCCCCTGAGTGCAGAACCAAGATGAAATCGACTGGACCAAAAGAAAAATCAGAGACATTATTTTTCCCCTATTATATTGTTCTTTATTTCGTCTCCAAGATACGACGCTCGCATCGCACTCGCCCATCTTTTTTTCTCACATATATATCCTACTTCCAAATTAGTTGAAATACCCTTGGGTACGCGGAAGAAGAGATTATTGTGATATACGACAATTTTCAAGTGTAGTTGAGTGCGTGCTTAGTGGTCCCTCATAGGATGTAGAGGAATAAAAGTGCTTTCAACCCTCTTGCAGTATCAAAAATGGGGATTATGAGGATAAGGAGGGTGTATTTCTCGTATTAGCCATAGAACTTGATGTCAAAGAATAAAGAAAAAATTTTTTTTACATATTTTTTTGTTTCTCTACTAGAAGCATCAAAGCAAGGAGAAAAATCTCAAAATTATAAAAAATAAAATGAAAATCAATTGAACTGAAAAAAAAAAAATTAGGCAATTCATTAAGGTACCGATAAGAAAGGTTCCTCCTTTGCCCACTGAGTGTGCGTTATTATCATCGGTCGGTAATGAAGAGACCGCAAAAATGCTTCTAGCGTCAGTAAGTTAGATATTTCTTTTACTGCTAGTCGGCATTTTTTATATGGCTCTTATTTTTTTAGAAAGGGAGTTTGTACAAGTTGATAACAAAAAAATCGATTTCCATTGAACTCTTTTATCTTTTTATCTGACGTATATGTCCACCTTTAAAATTAGTTGAAATACCTCTGGGGACGCGGAATAAGACATGTGTGTGATAAACGGCCATTTTCAAGAGTGGTTAGTGGTTCCTAATAAGGTGTGGAAAAATAAAAGCACTTTCAATCCTCTTGCAGTATTAAAAATGCGGATTATGAAGATAAGGAGGGTGTATTTCTCAAAAAAATCAATCTAAACCAAAATCAAATCATTTAGTTCGCAAAAGTGCCGGCAAGAAAAATTCCCCCCTTTATCGCCGATCGGTAAGGAAGAGATCGCAAAACTGTCCCGGCGATAGGTAAGTTAGATATTTCCCTTGCCGTCAGCCGGTAATGTGGCATTTTTATTGGGCCTATTTTTTTTTAAAGGCAATTTTTTATACAAATTGATTACAAAAATATCGCTATTATGATTCTGACCATTTGAATTTGATTCATAAATATTGAAATGCAAATGTTGGAAAATGAAATGGTTTGTGTAGACTATGACTTGTCAGGCTTTGACCTCCAAAATTTTCAATTTATATACGAAAAAGAGGATATATTTCTTTTTTTCTCATGACACGAGGATGGAATAATGGAGAAGAGAGAACGGACCAAGGGAGGGGGCCGACATGAGAGGCTTGAGAAAGGAATAGAGTGGAAGGTTAGTCGAAGGGTAGAAAGACTAAGTATTGAAACGAAGATGGAAGCCTTGGCGCATAATAGGAGGTGAGGCCGGCGCCTTCTTCTAACACAGCATCACCACGTGGCATTTGGCCAACTACCGTCTTCTGATCAATATGCTTACGGCTACAGCTGCCCTGTCTCTTTCTTATTCTTCTTACGGTCTTTTCTATCTTGTTCCTCTGTCCACATTCGCTATTTTTTTTAAACGGGTGGATGGGGTGGCAAAAAAACAAAAGAGATTTTTCAATTCTCCTTTTTTTTGGGGGGAGAGAATCTTCTGATGTCGGTGACATCTCTCACGCACTGTTTTATTTGGGGCTGATTCTGCTCGTGCATTCGTGGAAGACACACCCCTTTGCCTTTCGAGGTATGGCAAAAAACGCATTCCTCATTTGACCAATTTTTCGATTTTCTAATTTCAATTGTGAATGGTCTAGAGTGTTATGAAACGTGAAGAAATTATGTTTTTAGGGTCATGGCTGCGGTATGCGACAACTTGGGCTTTTGGTGATTAATTTTTAGAACATTCAGCATAAATACGGTGAAATTTGTAGATAAAAATTTGAAATTTTGGCTCATTGTAGCCATGATTGAACTCAACTTTGATGCGCTGTATCAGACCGATCAGTCCAGTAGTTCCTGAGATATAACGACTTATTTAAATTTTGTTTTTTCCCGATATCTCAAAAACTACTGCACCGATTTGAATTTTTCTTCTTTCAAAATACTCGTCTCGATGACTTTTATCTAGATTAATCAAAATCTATATGCCCTTTAATACTAGTTTACGAAGTTGGGAGATCTGCCGTTTTTCCGTTTTTTTAATGAAAAATCTTACGTAAATGGTTCCGTACATCTACCTGAGCATAAATTTTATTAGATTTATGACTCAAAGAGGTTCAATTCAATTGTAGTAATCAGGTTCAGACCTAATTTGGAAAAATTTAGAATTTTTTTAGAGAAATTGAAATTTTCATTTCGTGGTCCGTTAGGGTCTATTCGGTCCTACCAAATGTTCATTCGTTAATAGTTAACGAATGTATATTTGAGGAACCGTGTTTGACTTGACTTTGGCCATTCAAGTGAACCATTCGTTAACTATTAACGAATATTCATTTGGTCATATTCAACTCTACCATTCGTTAATAGTTAACGAATCTCGTTTGGAATAAATGAATCATTCTATCAGTGCACCCAAAATCTATCCGTGTAGAAATGAAAAAAAGAAAGAGACTAATCACGCAAAAAGTAACGGTCACATGCCTTCTGTCGAATAGGCTCGAACCCCTACTTATTTCTAATGTTTTCACTCCGTACATCAGTGCACTGATAGAAACGGTGGAACGATTCAGTTGCACCAAGCGAGGCTTCTTAACTGTTCCCGCGATTCTTTAATAGTTAACGAATCGTTGTAATAGTTAAAAAGTATCGTTTGGTTCGACTAAACCGTTCTATCAGTGTGCCGATTCAAAGTGCCGACACGGAGAGAAATATTCAAGAAAAATTACGGAACATTTCACGTAATCCGCAAGCGAGAATCGTTTTCAGTGAATTTCTATAGGAATATAAGAGAATAAATCTGAAACGTTCAGTAAATTTTCGGGTCTGTCACCGAAAAAATACGAAAAAGTCACGTAATTTTTCTGGAAGTTGTAAAATGTAACAGAAACTTCAAGACTTATTATGCCTCAGAACATGAAAATTCTTGGATGTTTAAGAATTTTTACGAAAAGTTCCGGAAAAATTACGGAACGTGTTGTTAAAATCTTCCCCTCACGGTGACTCATGGCTAGCCGTGAGGCGTCGGATGGATGAGTAATTTTTACGGAAAGATCGTAGAATTTACATGACGATTGATACTTTTTATTGAATTTTACTTCGCTCCCAAATTACGTTTTGAAACGTAATTTTTTCGTCTTTTTTCTGGTAATTTTTATTGAATATTTCTCTCCGTGGACCATATTGGTGAATTCAGGTCGAGAAGATAGTCAAAGTGAGGTCCAATAATCCAAGCTCCCTCAGATTTTTCAACTTTCCACCCTGAGAAGGAAAAATTCAGATTCACCAGCCGGCGAATCCACGCGATTCCCACGTGGATTCTACCTCTCCACTCACCCTCCCCTGCGCACCACCCCCACCCCCTTCCCTCCCGCGCCGCTTTGCCAGCAAAAAAAAATCCCAGAGTTTCCCAAAAACGCCTGCGCGCACGATTCACGAGTGCATACACCCCTTTAACATTATCTCCACCATGAAAAACTACACTATCGCATTATATGCTTCCCTGCCCCTCCCGAAAAGAGGGATGAAACAAGGACGGCATCCGCCGCTCCTCGCTATCATCCCTCGCTCCATCTCCCTTGTCACCCTCCCTCCTCCCCCCACCACCACCCGCCACCCCCTTCGACGCCCCACCCCCTTCTCCCATGGAAAGAAAAGGGATAGGATGCGTATAAAATGCCAGAGAACAAGAGAAAAACTGAAGCGAAAGAGAGATAAAATTGAAGTGAGAGCGAGCATGTCTAGATAGCCTAGGGGTTTTGCCTACCTATACATGTAGCAGAGGGTTAGGCGGCAGAGGGCTAGAGGGGGTAGAGGGGGTGCGTGAGTGGAGTGGGTGGTTGGAATTGTAGTGTGGTGGATGCCCCCTTCAGTGTCCGGCGCGCCTCCGTCAAGCGTGCTTCGGCAATATTTTCTCCATCCAATAACTAAATATTAAAATAACTAAATGTAAAATTGACATGAATAAAATAACTGAATGACTTGTATATTTTTTTTTCCACTTGCGAATGAAAGAATCACTGGTGAATGATGTGGGGACTGGGTTTTTTTTGTACACGAGAATTGATGGTTAATTATCATTTTTTGCAATGACGATTGATTGTGTTTTTTTACTCCGTGAGAATGGGAAAATCAGTGATGATTGTGTGATGATAAACAAATGTGGGGGGAGTGAAGTATAAAGAGGGAAAACACTTTTTTTTTTGAGAATTTAAATGCCCCTCAGTAGTACCGGCTTTAGGGATATTAGTGGTGGATTGTGGAGTACGAGAAAGTGTCCGAGAAAATTGAGAAGACCTTGAGTAAGAATAAACATTTTGAAAAATCTCCAATAGGAAAAAAAAGTTGAATAGTGAAATTGGCGGGAAATTGTTGAAAAAATAAGGGGATTAAAATAACCACCAGAGGGTAAAATTAATTTGGCGAATGGCCGTAAAGTGGTTAAAATACATAAATAATTGGACAATTAATAACGAGTCCTTGTGCTTCTGGTAATGCGGTGTTTGGGCGATGATGCATTCAATCCGTCGTCGTCCATTACCATCGTTATATTCACCATCCGTGAATTTATTGATATTATTAAAATATTTAAAATTAATAAAATTATTAAAAACAATAAATACACTGACAAAATTGATAAAAATTGTAAAATTAATTTGTTATTGCAGTGGTGTTATTACACAAGGTGACTCGTATTCGATATGCCTGAATTACAATTATCAAAATATATTGTTGATAAACAATGTAAATACAATAAACAATGGTATTACGATTATTTGTATAAACGTAAAACAACAACATACTACAGAAATAATAATTGCTGTTGTGGCCTTAAATTATTACTCATTGTAATATTTACATGGTTAATTGTATTACCAAATAGCGCTATCGGTAGACAAACTGGTGGACATCATCATAGAACATGTCCTGGTTGTCCACATAAGCATGTACATAATATTAATAGTAAAGAGTCTGAACCATCGCCCGATGAATTGCGTCTTGAAGCCATTAAACATCAGATACTGAGTAAATTGGGACTGAGGAGTAGGCCCGATGTTAATAAAACATTGTCACAAGTACCGAGACATCTGGCACTTGAGACACTTTACAGGGCTGAGGCACAACCATCCAGATACATCGAGGATAGACGATTTATGGATGATTATAGTGATTATTATTATGGAAGGGAGGATTACATGTATAGAAATGTACAGGATGAGAGGAGTACTCAGGGTCCAACCAGTACACAAGGATTTAGGGAGAGGGGTAATGAGGTGGAGGTGGATGATTTCTATGCTAGGACGTCGGAGATTATCACGTTTGCTGAGCCTGGTGAGTTCTATCACTTCCTTTTATTATTTTAGTTGAATGATTTTACGGACTAGGATGTAAAATATCCCTAGCGGCTGTAAATTGAATTTTATGAGGACGCTTGTAATGCAATATTTTGCAGCCCGAATAGAGTCACAGAGATGATGATTATCACAAGGATGTGAAAATAAAAATTTTCCGATTTACTTTATGACCTAGAACGTAAAATTTCCCTAGGGGATGTCGAATTCATATTCATATTTAAGCCCCAGTAGGGTTCGTGGGATGACAATTTTTTCTGTTATCTGAAGAAATGGTCATTGTCACGCTGAGTCATGCAGGAAAATATTGATTTAAGGCTTAGGATGTAAAATATCCCTAGCGGCTGTAAATTGAATTTTATGAGGACGCTTGTAATGCAATATTTTGCAGCCCGAATAGAGTCACAGAGATGATGATTATCACAAGGATGTGAAAATAAAAATTTTCCGATTTACTTTATGACCTAGAACGTAAAATTTCCCTAGGGGATGTCGAACATGAATTGAAGCCCCAGTAGGGTTCGTGGGATGACAGTTTTTTCTGTTATCTGAAGAAATGGTCATTGTCACGCTGAGTCATGCAGGAAAATATTGATTTACGGCTTAGGATGTAAAATATCCCTAGCGGCTGTGAATTGAATTTTATGAGGACGCTTGTAATGCAATATTTTGCAGCCCGAATAGAGTCACAGAGATGATGATTATCACAAGGATGTGAAAATGAAAATTTTCCGATTTACTTTATGACCTAGAACGTAAAATTTCCCTAGGGGATGTCGAACATGAATTGAAGCCCCAGTAGGGTTCGTGGGATGACAATTTTTTCTATTATCTGAAGAAATGGTCATTGTCACGCTGAGTCATGCAGGAAAATATTGATTCAAGATCTAGGATGTTAAATATCCCTAGCGGTTGTAAATGGAATTTTATGTAGACGCTTGTAATATAATAGTTTGCGGCCCGAACGGAGTCAGTAAGATGATGATATTGTCACAAGGATCGGAAAGCAAAAATATTCGGATTTACTTTACGGCCTGGAACGTAAAATTTCCCTAGGGGATGTGGAACATGAATTTAAGTCCAAGTAGGATTCATAGGATGACAGGTTTTGCTGTGATCTGAAGAAATAGTCATTGTCACGCTGAGTCATGCAGGAAAATCTTGTTTTAAGACCTAGGATATAAAATATCCCTAGCGGCTGTGAATGTAATTTTATGTGGACACTTGTAATGCAGTATTTTGAGGCCCGAACAGTATCGAAAAAATGATGATTGTCACGGCGATGTGAAAATCAAAATATTCCGATTTTCTTTACGGCCTAGAACGTAAAATTTCCCTAGGGGGTGTCGAACATGAATTTAAGTCCAAGTAGGGTTCGTGAGATGACAATTATTTCTGTCATCTGAAGGAATGTACCGCCGGATTCTGCTTAGGCCCTGGAACATTATTTTACGGCCTAGGATGTAAAATATCTCCAGCGGCAGTAAAATTTAATTTTGCTCCTGTTACAATACCTTAAAGAACGCCAGTAGAAGAGAATATTCCTTGTTTGTTCAATTTGAAGAAAAAAATATCCTCTCTAATTGAACAAACGAAATTTGATCGGATAATTCTAAGGACGTCTTAATGTCCTGACTGTGGAGATGGGTGATGTCGTTGGCGCAAGGCCGGCTGTCCTGCGAGACATTTACGATGGTAATAATAATCTTGCTTAAGGGCGCAAAACCGTTAGGGGGTATTGTGTACAGGGGGAGTGATGCGGAGGGGGATTTGAAATTGCTGTAGTGGGCGCCAACGTTGGGGGCATTTAGCTGGCCTCTTTTATTCACTGCAGACGTCTGACTGGGATATGGACAATTTGATACATGTAGAGGCATCCAGTATTCGTTACAGCTCTTTCCCCATGTCCAAAGGGGAAAAGCACTGTCTTCCGTCTCGAATTACTTGGAATGTTGAACATTCCAGTGACATTCCTGTTTAAAATTAGTGAATTATCTGGATAATTACCTATTTTGAAAAAAAAATTGTATGCCAATTTTTTTAATGGAAATTTTTTACGTAATAAGGGTCAACAACACGTACAAGCGAATTTGCGCGAACATTCAATTGTATTTTTACTGAAATTTCTATGAATTTCTGGACGATTCTATTGAAACATTCAGCAGCTTATCTGCGCTTTTTTTCAATAGAAATGTTCAATGAAAAATTTTCCCCTATTTTCTGCAGAATTTTCTGTAGAAATTTCTTGACTCATATTTTTCAAGGTTTTTCGTTCCATTTTTTCAAACAAAAAGGAAATAAAAATCGAATGAAAAGAACTTGGAAAATTCATGTCGAGGAATTCCTTTGAGAAATGTCTCAACAGAAATGTCTCCTCACGTATGAAAAAATTCAATCGAAAATCTAGTGAAGTCTAGAAAATTCTGTTGGGATTCCATAGGAATTATATGGGGTTTCTACAGGATCGGATCTATTGAAATTCTATTGAAAGTTTTATTTATTTTTTCGCTGATTCTATTGGATAGTCGATAAGAAAAGTCAGTAAACTTCGAATTTCTTTTTGAATTTTTCTCTTCAGATTTTTTCTAAAGGAATTCTTGGGCCCAAATTTTCCAATTTTTTTCCATTTGGATTCTTTAATGCAAAACAACACAAAATGCAGCGGAAAAAAATGTAGAAAATTAGTGTCCAATAATTCTAATAGAAAAAATTTCAAGAGAAAAATTCGAACCGAAATTCAAAATATATTGATTTTTTCCTACCAAATATGCAATAGACTCAGCGCAAAAAACAAGTAGAATTTTTCAATAGAATTCCAATAGAAATTCTATACACCGTTGAAAATTTTTGTCTGAATTTTCCGTCTCAAATTCCAGAAATTTTTACCGTGTCCCAATTCCACTGAAATTTCAGAAAATCTTGTCATTGAAAATTAAGAATTTTGTGGAAAAATCAAAGAGAATTGTAAATGTTAGTTTCATTTTCTCTGAAAATGAATAGAAAACCAGAAAATTCTAGTAAATATATTCTTGAATTTTCAGGACAGTGAGACACTAAATGCGATTTAGGGGGTAAAAAATCATGAAAATTCATATTTCACTGAAAATTCAATGCAAATTGACACTGAATATTCATATTAGATAGTATATTCAAATAAATTAAGGAATTCTTCACTATAATTGTTGATCTTTATGGCCCTTAAAATTCTGGAATTTTATTGAATTTTCAGCGGAACCTGAAATTCCATGATTTCTTTCACCTAAATCCCATTCAATGTCGCTGACCTGAAAATTGGTAGTCAACTGTCCATGAAAGATCTTTTTTTTTCGAACAGTGTAGAAACCCCATAGAACTCCTATAGAATTCCAATGGAATTGTCTAGCGAATTCGTAAGATTTTCTCTTGAAATTTTTCATGCATGATATTAGACATTCTGAAACCCTTCAATCATATGAAAGCCTTCACCAATATAAACAGTCCGGAATATTCGAACCCGCGAATGACAAAAATCTTGGACTAAGGAAACAGGAACAAGGACATCTACCAATATCTATCTGTAGGAAATATTGAAAAAGGATGCAATGGTATAGAATAGGTGAAAGCTTGGTAGAAGTACGGAAAAAAGGAGTAGGACGGAAGCCGGATGGCAATGCGCCGGAACGACGTGGTCGGCGGCGATTCGAAAATCGTAGCAGCGTTGGTCGGCCGTTATAACTCGTTCGGTTTCCGCAAATAAATATAGCGATGAAGTCCGGGCAACGGGGCCAGAACCACATACAGATATAGCTGGCTGTACAGAAAGCCAAATCGTGAAATCAAAGGGAAGAAATAAAAATTGATCAAAATTTAGGGGGAATTATACGGATGTTGAGATTTTTTCAAACTAATTTTATCATTTTTTTCGCTCTGAATGGAGAAAATTAAGGGGAGACTACTATGAGATTTAAAAGTCGCCAGCTATTGGAATGAGGTTTTCCATACATTGAAGATCGATTATATATGTCTCAAAACGAATAATTAGTGTAAAAAAATTAATTGTTTATTGTTCGTTTGCCCCGCAGATGTTTAAAATGTTAAAAATACTCCAGGGCCTCCGATTTGTGGGCTATAGAGGTTTCCTTTTTTTCAAAATTTTTGAAAAAATATGTACAATAACAATTACGAATTCATTTTTTGAAATTAAACTCGTGCACAGTTAATTACCTTATTTCTTTAATAAAGAATTGCATCATTCATGTAACAGAGCCCGAAAAATGTTTCTGAAAGAATTGAGAATATGTTTAAAATATTCTAAGGATAATTCAGCAGCGAAGCGGTAAACCGGGTTAAGTCGATTTTGAGTTTTGCTCAGTTTTTGATGAATATCTCGGAACCTAAGAAAAATAGCAAAATTTTTATCACGCCCTTTTTTATAACCCTTAATTGGCTCTACAAAAAAGGTTATGCCAATAATTTTTCTATCTCTTTTAGATTATGAGATATTCGTCAAAAACTGGCCATTAGTCAAAATCGACTTAAGGCAGTTTACCGCTTCACTACTAAATTTTTCTGCCTATTTTATATGAATGGCACGAATTTTCACGTCAAACAAAACAAAATTAGCTGGGTAGGAGACGAATTTCAAAAAAAGGTTTTCAATTAAAGGCCCGAGTTGTAGACCCGAGTTTGTAGCAGCGATGTCAGACAAGATATGAATGTTTTTTTGGGCTCAAATGAAAGAGCGGGTCGAGAAATGACGTCCTGGAGCCTCTCAACTTGACAAGTGTCTCTGCAAATGATATCTGTTTTCAATCGAAAAGCAGAGTTGTGACAACATTGTCTAGGAGGACAATGGGGTCTAGGAGTATGTATAGAACATTGG